TGAGTTCCGGAGCCGAAAGGGTTCGGGAATAAAAGGCAACCGGTCGGAGCTCCTGGTCCGGACATACAATAGAAAGTATTCCGGCGATGGCATAATCAGAAGCATCCGTCTCAACAACGATAGGAACATCCGGCATCCAGTGCGTAAGCACCGGAGCCGTAGTGAAGGCTTTCTTGAGAGTTTCGAAAGATTTCCGGCAATCCTCGGAGAAATTCCAGGGAGCATCCTTGCAAGTGAGCCGCGTAAGCGGAACTACAATATCCGAGTAGTTAAAGATGAAGCGACGATAGAAATTGGCGAATCCGAGGAACGATTGAATATCCTTGACTTTCCGAGGTTCCGGCCAGTCGCAGATAGTCTGGACTTTGTCGGAGGACATTGTAAGTCCGGCCGGAGATAGGAGGTAACCGAGGTATTCTACTGAGTCGGAATGGAATTCGCACTTCTCCGGTTTAGCATATAGCCGATGCTTCCAGAGGCGTCGGAGAACTTCAAGGACGTGTTTTTTATGGGATGCAAGGTCTGCGGAATAAATGAGGATGTCGTCGAGATACACAATAACACATATGTCAAGCATATCGGCGAAGATGGTGTTGACAAAGCGCTGGAAAGCCGCCGGAGCATTGGTGAGACCCTCCGGCATAACCAACCATTCATACGAGCCGTAGCGCGTTCGGAAAGCAGTTTTCCACTCGTCTCCTTCCGCCATCCGGACTAGATGGTAAGCGGACCGGAGGTCGATTTTAGTGTAAACTTTAGCGTGGCTCGGAGAATCGAGAAGGTCGGAAATGAGGGGAAGCGGGTAGCGGTCTTTCTTTGTGATTTTATTGAGTCCTCAGGAAATCTACACAGAGGCGTAGGGAGCCGTCCTTCTTTTGACGAATAGGACAGGGGCTCCGTGCGGAGAGGATGAGGAACAGAGAAGTCCTGGTCGCAATATTCTCATCAAGGAATTTGCGAAGAGCTACAAGCTCAACCGGAGAAAGGGAATAGATGGTGCCAAGGGGCGGAGCCGCTCCTTCTTCCAATTCGATCTTCAGATCATATGGACGATGGGGAGGGAGCTGTCCGGCTTTGCCCTTATCAAAGACATCCTGCATACTCGTGATATTCCGAAGGGATTCCGGATAGGTTCGGAGGTTCGGAGGAGAGTGTAGCGGAGCGGAGATTGACACCGGACGGACGAACAAAATACTGAACTGGACCGATCCCTCTAATTTACAGGCCCGGCAAAAGGCAACTGCATTGATTAGGGAAATATTAGGAACGGCGTTATCAGCAGAGGGACTCGGCGAGGTTGAGGAAGGGATTTCCGCCGGAGCCGGCGGAAGTTGAGTCGGAGGGGTCGGAGGCACTCCATGAGGAATCAGACGGAAATCGATGCTGCCCTTTACCCAGTCAATCAACGGATTGTGTCGGGTGAGCCAGCTATATCCTAGAACGATGGAACAGGATGAGTCCAGCGGAGTAACATAAAATGTTTCGGAGGTAACCACGCCGGTCGGAAACTGGATCGGTAAATATACTGCCTCGGTAATAGTGGCATTAGAAGTACCATCAAACAGATGGAGCGGAAGCGGAGGAATTGTATAGGTTGGAATGTTATTTTCTCGGATTAGCTTGCTTTCTATAAAACAATGGGAGGAACCACAATCTACTAGAGCTGGGAACGGAGAAATATCGGAAAAAGTAGAAATTAGAGATGGATGGTACTAGAGAGTTCGGATCGGAAAAGGAAATAGCATTGAGACGTAGCTCCATTGCACGGGTTGAGTCAACGCAACCCTCGTCCCGCACGGAGTCAAGAGGGTTGCGGACTAATTTTTTGTCTCTTCCGAGACCTCCGGTTTGGCTTCCGGAGTCACCGTGCTAGCACGACCTTTGGCCACACAGGAAGTGGACTTTAGGCAGTCCCGAGCAGTGTGACCGGGTCCGCCGCAGAAGAGGCAGAGCTTCTTCTCCATGCGCCTCTGGTGTTCCTCGGAGGTGAGTTTACTGTCTTTTCCAAGCTTGGACGTCAAGTCCGAAAGTTTGGCGGAGGAGGAAGCCGAAGTATTCCCGGATTTTCCGCCGGAGTACTCTTTCCGGTCGGAAGTGGAAGTTGACTGCTTAGCAGGAGGCGCGGATGCGAAGGGTTTGGTTTCGCGGGAGACTTCTCCCTTGCGTTCCCAGTATCGAGCGTCGATAGTCTGGGCGAGAGTTTTGTATTGGGACAGAGTGGTGGGTTTTCCTTGACGACTGATTTTGTCCTTGATGCGAGCTGGAAGTCCGTTGTAGAACTGACGGCGCAAAGCTCCGTCACCCCAACCGCGGACTTGGGAAGCTAGCCGCTGGAACTCTACAACATACTTGTTGATGCGCTGTCCGTCGCACATATAGAGCTGTTCCAGCTGCATTTCCGCATCTCCAACCGGGTCGTGAGGTCCGAAGTTAGTTTGGAGTTCTAACATGAACTCGGAGTAGTCATCCATCCAATCCGGACAATCTGTTAGATCATCTGAAAGGAGGTCCGGCTCAAACCATTCAAGGGCCATGCCCTTGAGGTATGATTGCACGAAGTTGACCTTAGTTCGGCCGGTACGGAAAGATTTCGGCTTAGCTTGGAAGTTAAGCTCACATTGGACAAAGAATGCCCGGAGTTTCCGGGGCTCAGTGCCATCGAAGGTATCCGGTTCTCGGACTTTGACTTTAGAGTCACCGGATCCGGAGGATTGGCGGTTGTTACGCGCCAGGTTATTGATGGCTTGGGATAGCTGGAGGAAGACCAAGTCTTGTGGACCTAGACCTTCGTTTTCATCGTCAGTCGGGTCTTCCAGAGGTTCATCATCCGGATCTCCGCCACCTCCTCCCGGCGGGTTACCGCCTAGGGCAAGTTCATCGTCGGAATCATTGTGCGGAAGATTTCCGGCGGGTGTGGGGGTGGGGGTAGACGGATGTGGGCGATTCATGAGTTGTGAGATGCTGGAGGCAGCGCCTTGCACACTAGCGCGGCGCTGTGAAAAACTGAGGAAGGCATCGACTATGGGAGTAGAGTCGCGTCGGGCGGTTACTACACCTGCTGCATTGAGAGCGGTCTGCGCCCGTGTAGGTGCCATGAAGTCAGATGTAAGTATACTCGGTAAGGTGTGAGTTGGAATATACTATTAAGAATGTGCTCAAGGGTCGGATCCGAAGGGCTTGGCTTCAGCTCGTGCGCTGCGCCCCTTACCCGAGTACGTGCCCCTAACTTCCGAGGGTTGTCGAACAATGTCCGAAGGTTACCAGACGATGTCCGGAGGGTGTCGGGCAATGTCCGGAGTCCGATGTCCGATGCGCGGGAATTCCAGCAGACATTCGGAAACAAGAGATAAGATTAATCCGGATGAAGTCCGAACTAGAAAGGAAACAGCGGAGGACTAACAGAGGTAGAGGCAGAGGTGACAAGTCTATAGGAGTTGATCCTAAGACGAGCGGAGGTCGACGAGAGAGAAACTCAAGTCGGACGGAGGAGAGAATGAGCAGAGTCTAAGATGATATTCCAACTAAGGATGTACATAGATTCTACAGGGTTTATATACTACTGAGGACTTATCGGAGAACAGAGATGCGCAGTCCGAAGCTATACAAAGCTGTGGACGGAGCGTATAGAAAAGTCAAACGCTAGTCTATCGGAAAATAGTAAATGAACCCGGAGATTAGAACAGATGAAAATAAAGGCGGAAATGAAATGAGGTACGGAAAATGATATAGTCTAACTGGAGTAGGAACGTACAAAGGGATAAGGCATGGAAGTTAGACGCGGGTTGGATCCAGACATAGATAGACGCGGGCCGGATCTGGACTTTTGGAAATGATGTGTGTGATAGGTCCGGGTCCGGAACACGGGATATGACAGTACCCCTCCTCATGATTGACAATGACTGTGTTGTACCGGCCAGAGGTCCAGAGGTCGCAAGGCGGTGCACAGTTCAGAATTTGTGCAGGCCGCACAATGCTGGCGTTGTGAATGTCCATGTCCTGGAGCCAAACTTTGAACCAAATTTGCATTTTATCAAATGGAAGCAAAGCATCGGGCCCCGCTCTCCTAGCCCACCAATTGCGTGAATGTGATCATTTCCATAGGTATCTTCGTGATGAAAGGAAGTCAGCAAGAGCTGGTCGTAAGTCGGGAAAATTAAATTTGAGAGCAGTGTCGTCAATGGGGAGGGCTCTGATTGATGGGTCATTGTCATATCCTGCGTTCCAGACCCGGACCAATCACACAATCATCTCTGGACTTCTGGACTTCCGGATCTGGTCAGCTCCTATCTTCCGTGCCTTTTCCCTTTGGTATTTCCCTTATCAGTTAGTATGCTTTATTTGCCATCCCTTATTCATTTCCGTCTTCATTTTACTAAGTTCCGATAGACTAGTGATAGTCGCCCACATGCTCTGTCCATAGCCTCGCATAGCCTTGCACTGCACTGACTGTTTCTCTGTTATGTCCTCAGTAGTATATAAACCCTGTACAGTCTCTGTAGTTCCTCAGTTCGAATATTATCTTAGACTCTGCTCATTCCCTCCTCCGTCTGACTTGAGTTTCTCCTCTCGTCGTCCTCCGTTAGTCTTAGGATCAACTCCTATAGACTTCTCACCTCCGCCTCTACCTCTGGTAGTCCTCCGCTGTTTCCTTTCTAGTTCGGACATTGTTTGGATTAGTCTTATCACTCGTTCCTGAATGTCCGCTGGAATTCCCGCACATCAGACATCGGACTCCGGACATCGTCCAACAGCCTTCGGAAGTTAGGGGCACATATTCGGGTAAGGGGCACAGTGCACAAGCTGAAGCCAAGCCCTTCGGATTTGACCCTTGAGCACGTTCTTAACAGTCATAGGCAAGATGAATGGCTATACACTGTCCAACAACGAAAGTGCGTAACGGCTGAGGGATTGTCCCCACCTCCTTGTGCAGAAGGGTCTGTGCGATTGCGAAGTAGTCAGTAATTGGCTGTGAATAACCGAGGTGATTGACTGTTGCCAGGATGTCACGATCATCGTTGTCTTCATCTAGGTATGTGTTATATACCACAAATTATGTGGTTGGATCACCACCATTCCCAACATGCCTCCTTGCCGATGTGGGCAGAGCAAACCCAAAGTTGTTGCCTGCCACCCCTGCTATCACGCCCATTCACACTGTTATGTTAGCGTCAGCAAACACTACCACTATTCATATTGCTCGTCGACTCCCCACTGAATCCCAGGTCAACATTTCAACTCGCGCTGCTCCAAGTCATACAGCAGATGAGGGGGAATATTTTGATCTCAATGTCTCTGGTGACAAAGACAAAGATAGAGCAGCACCTAGCCTGCTCCAAACAGCCACAGATACCACATGGACTGACCCATATGCTATGGGTGGTTGAGAAAAGCGGCCTAAAGCTGTTACCATAACATTTAGACCCCATTTCATTTCTTCTTATCTCTGACTAAGTGGGCTGTCCGCAGTATCTCTTATCTCCCATCAAGTGGGCTGTCTGCACTATGTTTGCTATCTCTTAACAAACGGGCTGTCCATCTATTATCTTGATACACCATTTACAAGCTCCACTTGAACATTCGCTATATAGACATGTAATTCATCGATTGTATTCCTTACTTTAATCTACTGGGTTTTACCTGGAACTTGTCCTTCAGTAAGGTCTCCAACCTTACTGCCTAAGAACCACTATTCTAAGGGAGTCGCCTACACTCACCTTAGCCAGAAACTCTTGACCTCTCATTCGAGAGAAGAATCACATCTGTCTTGCTGTCAGCAGAACGTCCATTCGGACTCAGACAGCTCGACTTATTCCAGTCATAACAAAAGCTGCTTATGATTTGCTCCACTTTTTCAGGGATGACATGATCAATAAGTGCTGAGTCTGTAAACTCTGCGAGTAAGTATCATGTCTATGAGCCCTTGGTTTCTTTTCTTTCTTACAGATTTTACCAGAGAGCTTCATGAAGGAGACCCAGAATACACTATCACTACGTACAGTACTGGCACTGGGACCACAACCCGTCGTAAACACGTCTTTCAAGCTCACACCCAGCATTACATTGAAGTGTTAGAATGCAACAGCTGGCCCGTATACATCCCAACTTTGAAAGAACTTATTGGAGATGGCTGGACGTTAGCAAGTATACTTCAGGCACTGAAAGATCCCGCTAAAACAATCTATTCACTTGGTCCCCCCCCAATCGTGGACTTAGCAACTCACTCCCTGGAACTTCAGGACATCCAGGCGATGTATTACCTAATTTCTAACTGGACGAGATGCATTGCCAGATTGTAAAGTTCATAATTGCTGATGATCAGGTGAGTCTTTCACTTTCTACACGCTCTTATTCTCAGTTATCTTCAGGCTATTAATGTCATTGAATGCCCTGAATTTTGGTGATTGATCCGCCTTCTATGGCCAGACCTTCAAGACACAGATATTTTCCATTGTACCAAGATTTGCGAACTAATCCTGCAAGCATTCAATGAATATTTTGGAGTTTTGAAGCGCAACCTTGCAGTAAGTGCACAGTTGTCAAGAGTCCCATGAGTATCTTATATATTTTAGAGAGCGCAAGGCAAGGTCTCATTTACATCTGATCTCTGGTCAAATTCTAAGCTCCATCCATTTATGGCGGTTACTGCACACTGGATTGCCAGAGAGAAACATTCATCAGTGCTCGTCCTGAAGGCAGCACTAATCGCTTTCCACCACGTCCCTGGCAGTCATAGCGGAGCATCACTAGCAGGTGAGATGATGATGATTCTTGATCATGCTGAAGTGGCAGAGAATGTAAGTGTTTAGTTTTGCTATTTGGCTGCTCTGACTTTGTTTAGATGGGGCACTTTACTTTAGACAACACTGGCAATAACAACACTTGCATGGAAGAGTTGTCATCCTTACTGGGCGCACGTGATGTAACTTTTTATCCAGTTGCTCACTGAATCCCCTGTTTCCCGCATATCATCAACATATGCATGCAGCATATCCTCCATAACTACCCAACAGCTGAATTTATGCATATGGGTGACAGTTGGGTAGTAGATGGCGCAACAATCCAGAAGGCGGAGTACGTCGCAGTCTTAAAAGCCAAGGCTCTCGACCAGGCCAGAGATGTTGTGTGCACCATCCGCAGGTCAAACAAACAACGTGAGGGTTTTAGGGATATTATTGTTAGGGGGAATGAAAGAAATTGGTATAAGGATGAAGACAGTAATTCCAAGTGACTTCCAGTTGTCGAACTTCTGCTGGATGAAGTCACACGATGGGATTCAGCCTACATTATGCTGAACTGTTTACGGACCCTCCACAAGGTAAAGCTCCCCCAACTGAACATCTTATCACAGACTGATAGTCGCCCAGCCTCTCAATAGGTTCCTCCAACAATCCCTGCTGGCGAAAAAGCTAAGTCCAATGCAATGGCATTTCCTGGAGGATCTCGAGGTAATTTTAGAGGTCAGTATTGGGTTTGAAACTTGTGATGCATTTGACCATTTTATATTAGGTGCCGCACACTGCTCAGCAAATTATGTCAAGCGAAAAGACTCCTGTGCTGAGTCTTGCAGTTCCAGCTTTCGAAGAGCTAATCGAGCGGTGGAAGGCAACTGCAACATTCATCCCACACTGTGCACCTCTCATCGAGATAGGCTTGACCTGGACAGATAAGTACGGTGAACAAATGGGCACTACAAATGCATATGCCGTGTCAATATGTCAGTCCAGTGAATTTCTAATATTGCTTGATATCTCATGATTTTATAGTTATTAATCCGGCAATCCGGATGTCATGGGTTCAAAATCATTGGGGTGAAGCCCAAAGTAATGCCGTCAAGACATTCATACTTGATTTGGTGCGTCTAATTCGCCTGTTCAAAGTTTGAACCAATGATTTGATATTTCCCAGATGCATGCCAAGAGTGCACAGTTGAAACCTACTGAATCTGTCCAGCCTCCATGGCAGCAGCCACGCTCGCTAGGCTCATGACACTATGGACTTCCTGATGTGAACACACTACAAAGTGTCCGTGAGGGTGCCCAAACAGTCAATGAAGAATTCAGGGCGTACACCATGGCTACTCTCAGCAGCAAGGGGACAAATATACTCAGATTTTGGCAGGTGAGAGTTGTGTGTCTCCTCAAGTTGTATCTCTCATCATTGACCACCAGGTTTGCCAGGTTTCTGAGACAGTTTTTCCAACTATATTCGCTATTGCAATGGACTACCTACCTATACAGGCCTCCGCTGTTCCGTACGAATGGGTCTTCTCTGCAAGTAGCGAAACCAACACTAAGAAACGGAATTGTATTTCCCCAGTGCTGATGGAGGCCCTACAGATCGTCAAGTTCCTCCTGAAAAAGGAGCAACTTAACTTTACTCCAGATTGGGCAGCATCCCAAAAGGAGATGGAATTCCAAATGTTATTGGACGATTCTGACAATGACAATGAATGCCCACTTCCTGATACTGGCAGTGTTGCTGACAGTCATGCTCATGATGCTCTGCTCAGAGCTATTGCAGAATATGAGTGTGATGACATTGATGACACTGCTACTGTCTATTCCCCGTGATGTTCATTCACTCTTTGCACTCGATTTTCATTGACTCTCAATTCTTACTTGATTCAACAGTTGTATTTATTGTAGACTATTTTCAATAATTACCTCGTCCCTCTTAGGGACATCTTATATTCGATTCATTCTCATTCTGCCCTTCACATTAAGCCTCCTCCAGTTGCTCCACTTTTGCGCGCATTTACCATTCTTGAGTTCATCTTGACTCTGGAGCCTGGACAGATATTTGTGCAGTGGAACATTCTTGCATCATACATCAACTCCTACATCTCTCCTAACATGCATAGCCCTCTCGCCCTCTCACCCACCCTCTCACTAGATGGTGAAATTAGGTGGTAGATCTGATAAATTGGGTTGTGGTTGGCTGTCTCAGGATATCAGAGGTGAGTAGGTAGGCAGACAATGACATTGGGTGGTAGATCTAATAAATTGGGTTGTGATTGGCCCCAACCTCTCACCTACCCTCTCTCACCCAATGCCTCACCTGCCCTCTTGCCCACCCTCTCACTAGATAGTGAAATTAGGTGGTGGATCTGATAAATTGGGTTGTGGTTGGCCATCTCAGGATATCAGAGGTGAGTAGGCAGGCAGATAATGAAATTGGGTGGTAGATTTGATAAATTGGGTTGTGGTTGGCCCATCCTCTCACCCAACCTCTCACCTAACGCCTCTCACCCAACACCTCACCCAACCTCTCACCCACCCTTTCACTCAACCTCACCCAACACCTCACCCAACACTCTCTCACCCAATGCCCTCTCACCCAACCTCTCACCCAACCTCTCACCCTGCACACCGGGCAGGAATAGATATACTTCGGTAAGTACTTCGTTGAGTCATTCAGCTGCTCACTTTCATTATCCTTGCGGAATACCAGTATTACTCATTAGACGAGTCCCTGTTGGAACAAGTACGTCTCTCCAATTTATTTATCAGCATTCTTGAAATTTACCTGTTTGCAGCTAACTTCATCACCTCCCACTACTTCGATCTTGATGAACTCTCCCTAGTGTACCTTGCTGTAGGACTGGGAGTCCTGACAGCCTCATAAAAGCTATGTTTGCAGTGTCCCTCAGCATCCTATTGATTTACTATACAAAGCACAGCTTTCCTGTGAGCCGCTGAAGGTTCAACAATACAGCGAGGCACAAATGAGGCTCCTGACTGTATCTATAAATGTTGTAAGGTTGTGCGTTGCCTAGTCTGCTATACTTGAGATGACAAGTGCATTCGACCCTAAAGGGGAAGCAAGTGCAGCAAAGATCTAGTAGTAGGTGCTGAAGGCGCTACTGGTTGGCTGATGCGAAGCATGGGAAAGCGCAGGTGCGCACGAGGCATGGGAATGCGCATGCGTGTATGTGGAAACAAGAGAGAGTAAGAGTGAGTTTGCTTAAGTAATGATTAGACACTAGACAAGAGATGAGAGATGCAAGCTGAGAGACGTTTTATGTGAGGTGCCAAAGAATAGATTTCAACTATGCTCTGCTAGGTAGTAAATGGGTATTGCTGTGGTTCAGTCCCTCAGTGATATTATGTACTGCTGGTGCTTATATATGGTGCCTAAGCGCTGTCATGCGGAGCTGAAGCACTACCGAGTAAGGTATGTAAAGATATATGTAAGTAAGGGTCCATGATAAAAATAAAGGTGGAACAATATGCAAATAAGAGAAATGGAAATATACACACTAGAGAGCTTGGTGGACAGTGGATGGATGCTCCCGGATAGCTGGCGCTATAGGGCGCTCAAGCACGGGAATGTCCGTGCATGTTGCGCGTTGCGCGGGAAAGCTGCGCCTCATATGGGAATAGCT